GGGTGGCGGGGGCGGCCGGACCGGGCCGGAGCTGCGCCGCTCGGCCCACCTGGGTAGCCGAGGCTGTCCCCTCCACACCGCGCCGAGCCGGTTTTCCTCTGCATCTTTCGAAACCTCAGCTTCTCCTCCTTTTCCTTTCTGTTCCCTACACCAAATCCCGAGGCCCTGCGAGCCGTGCGGCTGGCTTCTCCTTGTGGCGCTCCATCTGTCGTTCCGGTAGAAGGGCCGGAGCTGCGCCGCTCGGCCCACCTGGGTAGCCGAGGCTGTCCCCTCCACACCGCGCCGAGCCGGTTTTCCTCTGCATCTTTCGAAACCTCAGCTTCTCCTCCTTTTCCTTTCTGTTCCCTACACCAAATCCCGAGGCCCTGCGAGCCGTGCGGCTGGCTTCTCCTTGTGGCGCTCCATCTGTCGTTCCGGTAGAAGGGAAGCGAAAACCTTGGGGGACACGCCCCCCGGTCTGAAGCGGAGAGATGGTGTGACCCCTTCTCGGCTCATCCTCATCCTTCCTCATCCCAGGCTCCTGGGCTGCTGAGATGGGCTCGCAGCCGGGTGGTTTTTATTTTCCTTGATTGAAGGGGATTTAAGAGTAATTAAACATTTTCAGAAATTAAAGATTTTCACGTTAGGAATGAAAAAGTGGATTCGTTAATCTGATTACTCTCGTTTTGGTTTTGGTAAATATTTTTAGCTTTGTGTGTGTGTGTGTGTGTGTGTACTTTGTGCATATTGTCTTTGAATGGAAAGGTCTCCTGTCTATTCGGTTGCTGTCTCTTCATATTTTTTGAGTGGCTATCATTAGTTCCAGTTGGAGGTATTGTATTTGTCGTTTGTGTGTTTCGGAGAATGATGGGGAAAATGTTGGCTTTCAATTTTTAAAAACTTGCAATTACTTAGGTATGCCTTTGATGGAACCGGTGAACAATGGGAATTAGGACAGCGGTTTGTCAGTGATTGTAATTTTTTTGTTGTGGGTTGGTAATCTTTAGAACTGAGAAGAGAGATGAGAGACAGACATTGTCCTCTTGTTTAGCGTTTATTAGGCTGTGCTTTAGAGCCGGTCTAATGGACTCCTGAAGTCACTTGTTTCATCAGCTGTCATTGTTGAAATGAACGACTCCTTAGTGAAAATGTCTCTCATTGAGCATCACCACTAGGTAGGCAGTGTTGTTTATTTATTTGGTAGCCAGATTTGAGGGGGGGGGTGTTTTTTTGAGACAGGATTTCACTATGGCTGGCCTGAACTCACTTTATAGACCAGGCTGGCCTGGACTTCACAGAAATCCCCCTGCCTCTGCCTCCTCCTGTGCTGGGATCAAAGGCCTAAGCCACCATGTGGGAGGTGCCAGATAATCTTTTAATGATTAGTTACAAGTGTGGTGTGATCAAATCATTACTAAATGATTTCAAAGAAATTGAATTGTTAAGTGTAGAGACTGTTTTGGTCACTTTGACATATCATTGCCCTGTAGACCCATTTTATTTATACTCTTATGAATGTGGTTTTTTTTCTGTGTTGGATTGGGTATTTTTCAAAGAAACTGTATTTGACTTGCTAATCTAAGTAGGTGTACAATTTTTATAATTTTCGGAAGTTACAGATTCATAATGTAGCTGGGCATGGGCATGCACTTCTGGTACATCAGCTCTGTGGAGGCTGAGGCAAAACCATGGAGACGGAGAGTTTAGGACCAGCCTCTCCTCGGTAGTGAGACCCCTGCCTCCAAAAACAAACAAAACCCAGCAGGCAAGATGGCTCAGCAGGTAAAGGCACCTTCTGCCAAGTCTTAAGACCTGAGTTCAATCCCCAGGACCCATGTGGAGGAAGGAGAGAATGGCTTCCAAAAGTTGTTCACATACACAAAATTAATAAATGTAACAACAAATAAAACCACGAAACAAAGCTCGGTGTGGTTATGCACACCTTCAATCCCAGTACTGGGGAGGCAGAGGCAAGGGAATCTTGAGTTCAAGGCCTGGTCTACATAGTGAGTTCCAGGTCAGCTGGGGCTGTGGGGAGACCCTGTCTCAAAAAGACCAAAAATAATAATAATAAAATAACCCACAGAATAAAAGTCATCTTTAGGTAAAAATGCATAATACTAGCTAGTGTTTACTTTGTTCTTACTATATGGTGGACACAGTTTTAAACGGTATTCGTGTTTACTTATTCAGCCCCAGAATTTATAAGGTAAGAACCATTGTCCTTATTTTACAAATGGGTTTAACACAGTGGTTCTACTTAATTTTATACGCACTTCTTTCCGTTGTGGCACCAATGTTAGTAAAGCAAATGTCTACAATTAGTGCATCCACTTTAAATTCAGAGGATTCTGTCAAAATGAAGTTAGTCATACTAGAAATATGGACATCTCTATGCCATAATTTTCATGCTGTGACAAATTAATAGGAAATGTTTTTAATTACAAAGAGAAATGTTAGGGGGAAGAGTTCATTTTGACAACCTAACATTGTTTTTTAATTTCTTTCATGTTTTAATTAGGTGTCTATGTATGTGTTTGTGTGGGTTTGTGCTTGTGAGCGCAGTGCCTGTGGAGGCTAGAAGAGGCTGTAGGATCCCTTGGAGTTGGAGTTTATTGGCTATTGTGAACTGTGGGTGGTAGGTTCTGGGAAGCCCACCCAGGACCTCTGTAAGAACAGTATGTGCTCTTAACCACTGAGCCTTCTCTCTACCCATTGACACCCTAATTTTGTTAACTTGATAATACCAGAACCACTACAATTATTTGGTGTAGAGAGAGATTACATTCTGAAAAATGCATTGCTAGGCATTTTTTCATTGTGTAAAAATACTGTAGAAAGAACCTATACTAATCTAGATGTTATACACTACTATACTGTTAGGCTGTATGGTATATCCCACTGTGTATGTGATTTGCCTTGACCCTAAAGCATTGTTGCGTGGCAATAGCTACACTTTCATGCTAGAGAGAGGAGACCGATGAACTAGGTTAATTTTTGTGTTATGTCATACATACTATCAATTTAGGGGTTTATTAGTCCAATTTTCTCATTATATAATCAGCCATATATCTGTCATATTCCATAAAAATTTATTCCATTGTTTATGCAGTATACTTTTGTAGCAAAAAATCTGCCTGATTTTCCTGTGATTAGTTCCAGTTAACATATTTATTACATAAGAAAGTATAAATAACCTCTGTGTAAATAAAATTGTGATGGTTCCAAAAGAGTGACCAACTGGAAAGCAAAATGTGAACATTAGAATTAGTCTGGAAAGTAGCCAGCTCCAAATTTCCTCCTGGGAAGTGTCACTTACCTACCTCCCTTTCTCTGTCCCTCCCTTCCTTCCTCCCAGTCAGACCCAGGGACTTACACGTGCTAGGTGGCAATATGTCACTGATGCTGTGCTACAACTGCAGCCTCCACTCCCATCTCCCTCTTGTTTTTGAGACAAGGTCATTGTAAGTTGCTCAGGAAGAAAAATCTTATAAAATAGAGGAGAAAGTCTCTAAATATTTGAGGTAACTCCCTGTTGCTGAATATATGTCGACGAAAGTTAGTAGATGTAGGGCTGTTGAAAGCATTGTGTGTGGATGCTGTCTACAGCAGGGTACATTTGGTCAGCCGCTTCAGAGCCACTTAATGAAGAGTACAACTCTAGTTAGCTAAAATACAGGGGGTTTTTCTATACATAAGATTATTTTGGCTGAATATGAAGAGGAAAATCACCTTGTAGGTTAGGCTGCTAGCTCTACAGTCTGGTGCCATCATTGTGATGGTTCCAGTGGTGACCAAGACATTGGGATTCTCTAGCTTGCAAGATTAATCTGTTCAATTCTGGCTAAGGCATGATAGTGCAGTTTGGAATTAAGTTTTGGCAGTGATAAATACACAAGAAAAAAACACTTCATTTTTTTTTTTTTTTTTTAAGTCTTTTTGAGACAGGGTCTCCCTGTAGACCTAGCTGACCTGGAACTCTATGTAGACCAGGCTCACAGAGATACACCTGCCTCTGCCTCCCAAATGCTGGGATTAAAAGTGTGCGCTACCATGCCCCACAAAACCCTTCAGTTCTTAGTGAACTAGGAAATCAGCTAACTAGAACGCCCATTTGAAAACACGGTTACTGTAAAGAGAAAAGCAAGTGGTCAGGGTACTGATGTAATGATACTGTTAGAGGATTCTGAGGTATTCCGTTGCTTGTGTAATGTTGGGTAAGACCTGTGAAAGATCTGAAAATGCTTTTAAGATCAAAAAACGAAATCATTGCATCAATTTTGTATGTGGGTAGCTGATAATTTCGAATTTTACGTGAAAAAAGAAAGACCCTTTCTGAGTTTTTATTGGGAAAAGAGTATTCTTTGTGGATGTTGGTTTTTTTGAAGTAAGATCTGGCATCAAACTTCTGTTGGTCCTCCTGTCCCAGACTCCTGAGTGCTGGGATTCCAGACATTATTCTTAATTGTAAAAGAGAGGTGAGTCTGTTTTCTTTAATTTTATAGACTGTTATTTGTAAACACAAGGTATACTTTTGATGCCCAATGAAAGTCCATAAAATGGCTGGGTATGGTGGCACATGTCTATAATCTTAGCACTCAGGAGACTGAGGCAGGAAGATTATAAGTTTGAGGCCAGCAATATCCTGTTAGAAAAAAAAATTAGAATGGCATTTAAAGATGGTCCTTAGTAAAAGTGTAGATCTTTCTGTTTTTATTTGCGCATAAAAAATGAGTTAGGCTGGGCTGGGGATATAGCTCAGAGTAGAGCATTTACCTAGCATGTGTGAGGCTCAGGCTGCAATCCCCCAGTACTGCCAAAAACCCAGTCAGACTAATAGTAAGGACCTAGTATTTAGACTTGACAGTGATGTGAGGGGACAATTCATAATAAAACATAATTGCTTACAGTCCTTAGCTTTAGCTTCAAGTAAAGACTAAATACCCTGAACATGCCTAGTATTTTAAATTTCCTAACCAGTCTGATTTTGCTAGTTTATTTCACTTAGAATCATGTTTATATTTTCTGTTCATAATTTTAACTGGAATAAGGTAGTCTATCAGTATTCATTATTACACTTTTAAAAAAATTGATTTTAAGCCAGGCATGGTGTCTCAAGTCTGTAATTCTAGCACTCTGGAGGCAGAGACAGGTGGATCTCTATGAGTTAGAGGTCGGCCTGGTCTACATAGTGAATTGCAGGCAAGCAGGAGCTATAGGCACACACTATCTCAAAAAAAAAATTTTTTTTTAATTCTAATATTAACTCCTTTAAACCTTAAGGAGTACCTCTTTATTCTGATGTTCTAAGTAGGATGAATTGTTTGTATTTATTTATTCTGAATTTTCCTGTGGTAGATTATGTGTGCCAGTCTTTATATATGTGGTACCTTAGTTTCACGTATGCAGTTCTTTGTTTTGTTATAGTTGGTCTGTATTTGTTTTAATTATTTGAAGTTGCTAATTGAGTAAAAGGAAATGTAGCCTTTAAAAATTTTACTTTCAAAATCAATTTTCTGAAAATGGCTAGAAATTATTATTATTATTATTTTTTGGTCTTTTGAGACAGAGTCTCTCTGTAGCCCCAGCTGTCCTAGAACTCACTATGTAGTCCAGGCTGGCCTTGAACTCACAGAGATCCGCCTGCCTCTCCCTCCCGAGTGCTGGGATTAAAGGTGTGCGCCACCATGCCCAGCTCTAAAAAATATTTTAAAAGTAACTTTTAATCTGTCTCATTTTTGTATATTGAAAAACATACATAAAACATGTTTGATGAAATAATAAACTCATGCTGGTAAAATGGCTGAGCAGGTAAAGGCATTTACCACATAAGCCTAGTTCTGTCCCCAGAATCCACATAAAGGTGAGAGGAGAGAAGGACTCCATCAAGTTGTCCCCTGACCTCTGTGTGTGTGCCATGGTCTGCACACACACATATAATAATAATAATGATAATAATAATACATTTTAAAATTAAATAGTAAATTAGGAAAGGATGTGATTTATCTGTTTAGGTGGCTAGCTGGTGAATGGAGGGCTAGTTCATTGTGTGTATGTCTGTGTTTTAAATTGTGTTTTAGAATATTGTTTCATTCTGTTGTTAGAAACAAGCCATGTGATGTAATCTCTTTGCTATTTCACTTTTTTAAAACTTGCATAGTCTGAATGGATATCCATTGACAGGAGACAGATGATGCAGAAAGCCAGGGCAGCTCTAGATACTCAAGTAATAACTTGTAAGCATGTGATTAAATGTTGATCCTCTAATTAATAATTTGAATATCTTTTGAGAGTATATCCTAACTATAGCAGTTGTCTTTTTTAGGGGTGATATCAAACTAAAGTTAGCTGTGTTTTCATTTGTACCTATTGTTTGTCTATGGGGGAGGGATTGCCTTGCTATTTTGAATGGGGTGGTCTCTGATCATTTTGCAAGTGGAGTTAATTTTGATTGTTGAACTCTTGGCCACCAGAAAACTGTACAATGTATGTAAGTCTGTTAAAACCGCAAATACCTTCTTGCTATGAACCAGCATTTCCTTTTCATTGCTTTTAATGCTTTTGACTTATTTATTAGTGATGGGAAAAATTGACTGTCATTGATGAAATTTAAAGATACAGTCAACTATGGAGAATAATACATTTGAAGTAATTATAGCAATATAATATTGAATACATGCTTGATATGCTATTGAACATCATTTTATATTCGGCTATTGAAATATAATTGATATGATCAGTATATAGCAGTGTAGTTGAAGTAATACTAACACTTCAATTTCTTTTCCCATTTACTTTGAATCAGAAGAAGCTCATTCATACAGAAGACCCATTTAATGATGAGTATAAAGAGAGGCAAGAAGTGGAAATGTTGGCTAAGAAGTTTGAAATGAAATATGTGAGTATAATAGTGTTCACCTAGGTTTTTATATTGGCCTGTTTGTGTGGCTGGTTGGGAGGCCTATAAATCTCCATGGCTTACTTTCTATTGATTGCACAAACTAGAGCTGAATGAATGGCGCCAACAGTTTTGTAGGTTTGGTGACTGTGATCATAGGCACCATTCATTATAGCCCTTCTAGAATCTAGGCAGTTTCCTTAACAAATCTAACAGAACTACAAGGTAAGTAATATTTGTCATATTTTACAAATGAAGAGAATGAGGCTCTGAACCCCAGGTTAAGTGATTGATCTGTGGTCACACAAGTGTCAAGACTCCGTAGCACATCCAGGTGTATGTAGCTCTAACACCCCACCACCCCCACCCCCACTGCTGAGTAGAACTGCTGTTCTCTGAGTAGCAGTTCCTCAATCTTCCTCCCTCTGAAGAGTTTAAGAAACTGAATGTGTGTACTACACTTCTGGGCTGCTTGCATCAGACTCCATCAGAATCAGTATGAAACTTTGTTCAAAATATCTTGTTTACATTAAATACTCATGTACATCCTGTATTCGGTACTACAATATATTAGTTTTTATTTTAGTATAAAAATAACTTTAATACCTAATTATTGCAGCATTTTTCTCCAACTTTTAGTATAATTGATTGTAGGAAGCTCCCTCATCACGCCCTATTTATCCTATGTCTTGAACTCTTCTTGGCACTTTGTTAAAACACAAGTGAGTTGAGATAATCTGTGACTATTTAATAAAGCAGATGAACTGGTAGGTGTTTTAAAAGAAAGGATGCACAAAAATGTACACTTAATTTGTAGTGGTTTTGTTTTGTTTTTTTAAAAATATTCTTTGATTTTTAAAAAAAATTTTATGTGAATGGATGTTTTGCTTGTGTGTATATAAGTATACCTGTGTTATTCAGTGCTTGCAGAGACCAGAAGAGGGTATTGGTTCCCCTGTAACTGAAGTTACAGACCATTTGTGAGCTGCCATGTGGGTACTGGGAACCTGGGTCTTCTGCAAGAGCAGCCAGTATTCATTTTTTTATTTTAAATATTTTATTTATTATTATTATTATTTATTTATTTTTTGTCTTTTTGAGACAGGGTCTCCCTGTAACCCCAGCTGGCCTGAAGAGGTCCTCCTGCCTTTGCCTCCCAAGTGCTGGGATTAAAGGCATGCACCACCATGTCCGGCTTTATTTATTATTTTTTAATTTTATGTGTATGCCTGTATTGCCTGCATGTAGGTAAGTGCACCCGTGTCATGCAATGCCCACAAAGGACAGGAGAGGCCATCGGATCCCCTGGAACTGGAGTTACGGACAGTTGTTAGCTACTGTGTGGGTGCTGGGATTTGAACCTGGGTCTTCTGCAAGAACAGCCACTGTTCTTAACCACTAAACTGTCTCTCTAGCCCATTTTTGTGCTTTGAGAATCAGCTCATGATCCTCCTAATTCTGTCTTCTGTGTGCTGGGCTTACAGGCATGAGCTACCATACCTGGCTAATTCGTAGTGTCTAATTACAATATAGTCTTCTGTTATATAAACTTTATTATCTGTTATATAAACTTTATATCATATACAAATTCTAAAATATTGACTATTTTTATACGAATTATGCATTGTTTCAACTTAGTGTTCTAACCAAGCAGATCTACATGATTCAAAATTTTGAAAAATAGTGACTTTTTCCTTTTACTGTATTGCCCCCCCACCTAATCCTGCTTCCTAGGCAAGTAACATTTTGGGGAACTCTAGAGACATTGTATGTTATATATCTGTTTTTTACACATATTACAGAAAACTATGCACACTTTTTGCTTTGTACATTTACTTTACCTTAGAGATAGCATACTAGTCCCCACATGATTTAGATTATCTTTAAATGTTTGCTCTGAGCCAGCACTGTAGAGGTGGAGGCAGGGGGATTACAATTTTAAAGCCAGCCTGGGCTGCATAGCAAGAACCTGTTTAAATAAATTTTAGAATTATTCTTATAAATAGTACTGCAGTGCTTTGTAAATTATTGTTTCATGCATTTTCAAGTTTATTTGCAGGACAGATTCCTAAAAGTGGCAGATTTAGGTCTGATGTCACTATAAGTTTCTGCTCTTTCCAGCACTGCATTAGAGTGTCCTCCCTCCCCCACCCCACCCCCTCCATGGATGACAAAACTACCATTAGAATTGCCCTTTCAGTGGTTAGAGAGATGGCTCAGCAGTGGGAGCACTGATTGCTCTTGCATAAGACCTGAGTTCGATTCCCAGGACCCACATGGAGGCTAAGAGCCATCTATAACTCCAGTTTTAGGGGTTCTGATGCCTCCTTCTGTCCTTTACAGGCATTGTAGGACATAGTGCACTTACACTCATATACATAAAATAAAAATTAGAAAAAAGAATTTCCCTTTGCAAACAGGAAATTTCTAGCATATCATCTTTCTAGTAATGTGAACTGTAAGATGCACTACCTGTAATTCATATTGGGGCCTATAGAACAGTACTTGTCCTTGGAAAACTTCTGTGTTTTGAAGTTGATATATAAAATTGAGTCCTGGGGCTAGAGAGATGGCTCAGCAGTTAAAAATACTGGTGGCTCTTTCAGAGGACCTGGGTTTGGTTTCCAGCACCCATGTGATGGATCCGATGATTTCTGGCCTCCACTGGCACACCATGCATCTGGAGTATTTATATATATGCAGGTAAAATACTCATAAACATACAATTTATTTTTTAAAAAATCCGAAAAATACTAATTGAGTTACGAGTTTGGCTATATGTAGGCATTGTCATCGTGCAGAGATAAAATACTACTCTTATTGTAATCCGGATTAATAGACTATGCTGCTTTTCTAGATTTTTATTTTGCCTACTCTCTTATTTCTATTCTAATTCCACTTTCCTACATCATTAAGCATTGCATCCAGGAATATTAAATGTATATAACAAAGTACTTGGAACCTTTTAAGAAAATCAGGCCAGTGGCAAGGTGTCTTGGTGGGTAAAGGCGTTTGCTACCAAGCCTAAAGAGGCAAGTTTAATCCTTGGGACCCACGTGGTAGAGGGAGAGAACTGATTCCTGCAAGTTGTCCCCTGGCCATCATACATGCTCTGGCATGCACGTATCCACACAGACACACAACAGAAAATAAATAAATTAAAAATTAAAAGAAAAGAAAATCAACAGGCCAACAGTGACATAAAAAAAGAGAATTTATCAAGTACTAGGCTTTCACAAAAGATCACTCCTAGCTAGGTGTAGTGGCGTATACCTGTGGTCCCAGCTATTTAAGAGGTTGAGGTGAGAGAGACTTTTTTTTTCTTATTGAGACAGGGTTTCCCCGTAGCTCCCACTGCCCTGGAACTTACTATGTAGACCAAGCTGACCTCAAACCCACAGAGATCCACCTGCCTCTGTCTCCCGGGTGCTGGGATTAAAGGTATATACCACCATGCCTGGCTAGGTGAGAGACCCTCTCTTAATTTTTAGTCATTTTTGAGATAGGGTATCTCTGTAGCCCCAGCTGGCCTGGAACTCTTTGTAGACCAGGCTGACCTCAAACTCACATGCCTCTGCCTCCAGAATGCTGGGATTAAAGGCTTGTACCACCACACCCAGCAGTGAGAGTCTCTTGATCCCACAACTTTGAGACCAGCCTGGGCAACAAAGATCCATTTCCCAAAAAAAATTTTTTTTTTTTCCTTAAACAGGTACCCAAGAATAGCAAATTCGTGTGTTCTACCCAGTTAAAAATCAGTGAAATGAGATACTGGAGATGTAACTTAGTTGGTAGGGTGCTCATGTCTAATACACACAAGGCCCTGTGTTCTATCCTTTGTACTTCATAAACTGGAGTGGTACACAGGCCTGTAATTCCAGCACTCCAGTGGTAGAAGTTGGAGGACCAGAGGTTAAAAGTCATCCTTGGCCTTAGTCAGCTTCTGGCCATTGTGGCCTACATGAGACTTGTCTCAGAACAAGGGAAATCAGAAATTACTGGGAGTATAAAATTGTAAAGAGTGCTGTATATTGAATTTATGGGGTTTCCTTCCCTCCTCTGCTGTCACATTTTTATGGCCCATTTCTTGTTTCATTGTTCATATGCTCAGATAATATAGCAACAGTTGTTAAATATTTTTAGGGAGAAAGGGCAGCAGACTACTAAGTATTTATTTCTACCTAGATTATATTAAATCATTGTTGTACATAAATCTTTTTTTCTTTTAAATTTTATTTATTATTTTTATTTTATGTGTATGCGTGTATTGCCTGCATGTAGGTAAGTGCACCCATTCGTGCAATGCCCAAGGAGATCAGAAGAGGCTGTTGGATCCCCTGGGACTGGAGTTATGGAGTTGTTAGCTGCCATGTGACTGCTGGGATTTTAACCTGGGTCTTCTTCAAGAACAACCAGTGTTCTTAACTGCTGAGCCATCTCTCCAGCCCTGTACATAAATCTTTTTTTAAAAAGTATTTTATTTTGTTTTTATTTTATGTGTATGAGTATATTGCCTGCATGTATGTAAGCGCACCTGTGTTGTGCAGTGTCTACAGAGATCAGAGGAGGGAGTCAGATACCCTGGAACTGGAGTTATAGATGGTTGTTAGCCACCATATGGGTGTTGGGACTCAAACTGGGGTCCTCTGTAAGAGCCGTCAGTGCTTTTAACTGTGGAGCCATCTCTCCTGCTCTGTGTTATACATACATCTTAACTAGTTAGATCCAACTTTTGATACCTCTGCTATTCCATAAGCTCCAGATTATGTGTTCTTGGTTACTGTAGGAAAAAAGCAAGATTGAGTTAAGTCTCCCTTGCTTTCTCATTCCCTTGTATGGCTCCAGTTGTTGAAGCTAAACATCCCAGGTTCTGGCTCTGTTTTAAGATGATTTCTAGGTAGTATATGCCAGAGCAGGGAACAAGGTTCAATTTAATGGATGTAGAGTTGTTTTTCTCAGTCTAATAGGGCTCATAAGATTTCTCTTAGTGATCTTTCTTC